CCTCACTGTTCAGCTGCTTCAGGTCTCAAGAGCAGATTAAGGAGTAGACCAGAGGGTAAGTTCCATCAGAGTGATTAACTTAAAAAAATCAAAGTAGATGATCTGGCTACACGTACCTAGGCATGCCCTAGGCCTCCGTTTCTTCCTTTGAAAAATAAACAATATTTACCTCTAATGCAGCTGTGGGGATGAAAAGTCGTATTGCTCGTGCTGGGAACACAGTACCCGAAGATAAACATTTGGTCTCTCCTCTGCACCTTGGTGCCGCCAGCATGCCAGCTGCCGGCCTAAACGCTCACGACGGGGATCGTTGTCCCAGATGTGTGTGCAGCCCTGCACTTCCACCCACTCTGCAGATGAGAAGACCAAGGCTCAGAGGTGATAAGACTGTGCAGGGAGTAAGACGCAGGGCTGGGACCACAACTCAGCCTTCTTGACTCCAAAGATGAGGCTCTTGCAACACCTTGCTCTGTAACAGCCTGGAGCTGAGTCAGGCAGAGCTGACTGCTGGTGGCGGGACGGACGGCCCCGCTCAGCTCAGTGTCACCCTCAGCCTGGCTCCACAGACAGCCCGGAGGAGGCTCTAAGAGGCCCTCTTGCAGTGGCGACAAACGGATGAGGCGTGGACAGGGCCCATTCACGGCAGCACTCATGAGTGTGAGTGGAGTCCCTGTCCCCTTCCTCTGTAGGGTTTGCTCTCAGGAGACATAACCAGAAACACCGGCGCGGTGCCGGCCTCCTGCTGCTCAGAACCCTGGCCAGGCTGCCAAGGACACGGAAGCACCCTGATGCACGTCTCCAACCCAAAACCAAAATGGGGCCGGGGAGTCGGGACATCGCCTCGCCGTTAGGTCATCTGAAGTGGACAGGGAGCTATGAGGTAAAAAAGCCTGCAGAAGCGGGCCTGTGGGCACACTCGGGGCCTTAGCACACATGTCCTGAGCTCGTCCCTCACAGTCTCCCGGGGAAGCTGACCAAACAAGGGTTCCGATCTTTTGTCCTCTGATTTCTGAAAAGCACCTGCGGCCCCCAAGGCTTCCGTCACCGCCTCAGAGCTTGATCTGCTCCTAAGAAAGTCAGCCAAGAGGCACAGCCCTGGGGCAGGCTGCTCTGGGACCGAATTAGAGTTTTCTCCTAGGACGCAGGAAGGAGCATTGCTGAGTCCTGCCCCTGCCACAGGCTGGAACACAGCTCCGGACACAGGAGGCCTCTGCTCGGGCCTCAGTTGTCCTCCCTCTAATCCCAGGACGACTGGAACTAGTTTGGGGACCCAGAGAAACTGCACCATTTGATCCGACTGAGCCAGGACTCTGCCTCAGAATCCTTCTTAGACACAGAGCTCCAAGCAACTACTGCCGATAAATCAAGAGTTGGCTTGCAAGAGGGGACCTGGTTGCTGCCCTTGGACACATTCATCTCGAGGCATCCCTCAGCTCTAAAGACCTGTCATTCTCCTCTGTGGCCCATATGTTTGTCCCCTGGTTCCTTTTGTCTAGGTTTCCCTGGACTCCTTGTGCCTTGGCTGGGAGGTTGGGGCTGTGATTAGGTGACAGGGGATAGACAGGCAGGAGAAAGAGCTCCCGCGGCCTCAGGAGAGGTTGTCCTGGTGCTCAGAGCTCAGCGGCAGAATCGAGTCGTGGGGAACCAGGCTCTGCAGCTTTCTGGCCAGCCCTGCTGAGGGTGGCTTTGCGGGTGGCAGCTACACCAACCACTGGTAGAAGGATGCCAACAGAGAGGCATGGAAATTTGAGCTCCTCCAGGCAGGGGGGTGACCCCTAGAGCCAACTCAGAACCTGCACACTTGAGAACTCTTCGGGCCCGGCCACCTAAGACCCCACATCAATAGAGCATCCTTGCTACCACGTGGCTAGTTTATACGTTAATAGCGTGATGTCGTTTTAAAGTGGTTCCTAAGGTCTTTGTGACACAAAGACTGAAGAAATCCTGAGGTTTCCTGTTACAGGCACAGAAAATGAGTGGTGATGGCTGAAGAAGATTTGGGGCAGCTCCTTAAGAGTCCTTCAACACAAAACACAGCTCGTGTTAAAAAGAGCAGTGTTGCAGCAGCTTCCCCAGCCTCGAGGAGGAGAGGGATTCACAGACGCAGGCTTCTCTGCCAGACACAGAGGTTTTGTGTTGATTTTATGCTGTCGGAAAACATCCAGATAGAAAGCAAAGCCTATACAATATTTTAGACATGTTGTTGTGCTCAGCCAAACACCAGACTTTACTGACGAGGTAAAGACACGAAATTCAAGTGGCGAATTTTCAATTTCTGAAGTCACATTTTCTTAGCTTATAAGGGAATCCTGAAAGCAAAACACCACAAGGCACAAGGCCAGTTCGATTCTATACGTGTTTGTGGAGCACCTGCTGTGAGGACGGAGCTAAGCCAGCCCTGGGGGAGCAGGTACTCAGGGGGCATCTTTCTTGCCCTTGGGGACCTTCTGGTCCAAAGGCAGAGAGAACCAGAAGCAATAAAAGTTCCAGTGGAAAGGCATGGGGAACTGTCCCTCTGAGGCCCTGAGGGCTCTGCAGACCTGTTCAAACATGTCCAGGTCAGGAGAGGGCGGAAGGCTTCCTGTAGGAGGCAGCATTTCAAGACGGGTCTCGAGAGAAAAGCAGAAGGGTTTTCCATCTGTGGAGAGACCTGCGGAGGCCCACGCCGAGCCTGTGGGCAAGATCCAGGAGGGGTAATTCTGGCTGAACGCAGGTGGAAGTCGCATAGCAAAGAAGCTCCAGGAGCTAGGTCGGGAAAGGTGTTCGGGGCTTGAAGGCCTGGAGAGGGGCAGCTACTATGGAGGTGCCAGGGCGCCCACTGAAAGGGCCGAGTAGAGAAACAGCTCCAACAGAACAGGGCGTGAGGAATCCAGGGTCCGTTCTCCACCAGAAATCAGGGGACACCACAGCCAGCCTGGCTTTACTTTGCAGGAACGGATGGGAGAGTAGAGAGGCTGCCGGGTCCAAGGCCACACACTGGGGGTGGCACAGGCCCAGAGCCCACAGCCCTGGCCTGCAAGCCTGGAATGCCGGCCGGTGGGCCAGGGCCGACGGCGGGCCTGCAGACGGCAGAGCATGGCACGGACGTGCAGGCTGTGTACCGTCGCCCGAAGGAGACAGCGCTAGTCACCGGCAATAAGACTGAGCCACTCTGGCACCAAGTGCGGGGCCCTGACAAAGGCGGTCTGCTGAGGCACCTGGAACGGCTACAGCCCTTCTGAACGGTAGTGCCAGTTCACCACTGCAAGGGCTTGCTTCTTACACCCATCTGATGACGCCAGGTCAGTTCTTCCTACCGTGGGCTGCATGGGGAGCTGCACGGGCTAATATGGCTATTAGAAGGGAAATTTAGATGAATGGAAATTATGTAACACCAGCAATTCTGGCCCCCAGTTGCAGAAGCCACGTTTCGGGCGCTCGCTAGCCACACGCAGCCAGGGGCTAGTGTGTTAGATCGCACAGAATAGAGCATTTCCATCGTCATGGCAAGTTCTACTGCATAGCGCTGATTTGGAACGGGGGTCAGCGAGCTGTGCCCCAGCCTGGGGGTTCAAATCCAACTACCATGTGTTTTTGTAAATAAAGTTTTATTGAAACGTAGCCACACTCGCTCTTTGGTGTATTACATGCCTGTCTGCTTCTGAGCTACCACGGCCGAGCTGAGTACCTGTGACCGAAACCAGCCGCGAAGCCTGCAATCCTTACCCCCTGATCCTTTATAAGGCAAGTCTGCCATCTCTGGTGTAGATGGTCAGAAAGTTGCCTAAGGATCTTTTCTGGAAAGATGCTCGCTGGCATCCCCAGCAGCACCCGTGGATGCCCAGCATCTGGATGACTTTCCCCAGGCACGTGGCTCCCTGGGAAGGAGGCAGGAGACACGCAGCTGTAAGCAGCAGTACCAAGCTTGGCGGGGGGCACAGGGTACCCCTCCCCAGGCCGGCACCGCCTCTGGAGGGACTGCCCTCAGGGAGAGGCAGTGGGGCATGGCATTTGGGTGGCGGCGAGTCTGCCCAGGAAAACCACACGCCGGAAGGATCTCACCATCAGCTTGCTTTATTCTTCTCACTCCCCCCAGGTCAGTGAGGCAGCAAGGTGCATACAAAGAAGACAAACTGTTTTCTTGTATCACCTCTCCCAAGCCAACATTCCACAGATAATTTTAAGAGCTTTTCATCACATTTGGCCTAAGTGGAAGGTCTGGCACCCCACACATCAAAAATAACTCCCTTGGTGATGTTCGGCCAACTTATGAGCACTCATTTCTATGAAAGGAGGAACATCTTGAGCAGAGAGAGGGTTGCAAGGCGGCCTCCTTCTGGCCCTTCTCGAGTCCTGCAGGTCAAAGAGGGGAGCCAGGCTGTGTGATCGACTCCCTTGGGAAGAGCGCCTCCTTCTACTTCATCCCTGTGCAGGCAGCACCCGGGGCTGCTGGGCCAGCAGGGAGCCTGGGGGGTTCTCTGTGGACCCTGCACTCCGGCTGTCCACCAGTCACTGGTGAACTAGTTCAGCATTTTTCTCCTTTTCTAAACACAGTCCTTGGTGGAAAGGGGGACTATATGGATTCAAGAGGCTCTTGGAATGGCCTGGGGCCAGAGAGGGTGGATTCTCTCAGAATGCCCGTGAGCATCTCAGATGGTAACTTCTGGGACCGCAGGGCCCCAGGAGTGCTGCAACTGGAGCCACGCAAAATGCAAATGCACGAGGAACTCTTGCTGTCACACAAGCAAGTGGGGGGAGGGGAGCACCGGCTTCCCTTCCAGCGCAGCCAGGAGGCCCAGAGCTGGCAAGCCCCTCTCTGTCTCTAATTCTCAGGTTGAGTTGCTGAATTCTCACTCCTACCAGCCTTTCTCTGCTGATCTGAGTTATTTGGATTAAATGGGACAAAGACTACAAAAAATATCCTAAGCTTTCGGCCCTCCCCTCAGGACCAGCCTTTCAATACACACATTCTCCCAGGCCTTCGTGAATTACCGAGAAAACAACAGGGAGCGAGTCCTCTATGGAGCTACAACTGGGGGTGGTTTAATTTGCAGGGGTCCGGGACAGGTCTCAAGTGTTGGGAGGTCACCCGCGCTGTCGTCTCTTCCGCCCCCGCAGCTTCAGCCGCCTGGCTGGCAGGCTGATGGGCTGTTTCCCGAACTTTTCCATGATCTCCCTGATCCTGGCCAGGTTGGTTTTGCTGAGTGTGAAGTCGCACTGCGTGGCCCCCATGTCATAGCCGACCATGCAGTTCTTGGTGGATGAGGTGAACCCTTCGGCTTTGGCTGTGACCACATACTCTCCGGGGTTCAGGAGGCGCCAGTAATCCCCATCGCTGGCTGTGAAGAGAAAGGAGGGGAATTCAGAGCAGTTCTCTTCTAAGGCAGATACCACCAGCCCTGCTATTCCATAACCGGTGTCCCAGCCAGAGAGAGACTCAGAGGCTGGCCTCGTGGAATTCGAGCCTCTGCAGAGGCAATTTTTTTTTTTTTTTTTTTTTTTTTTGCAAATTCTTATTTTCCTCTTTGGAAGCCACCTTAATGGTTTTAACAGGCAGAGGGCTGGGGTGTAGGCTCCCCATAGTGTTCATACACATGAGTGAAGATGGAGAAATGATCACTCACACTCCTTCCTCTGTGACAATACATGCCATTCATTATGAGCCTGAGCTTCCAAATGCTATGCCCTCACCACAAAATGCCATCTTGAAAAGCCATCAGTGCCTGGCTTTCTGGTCTCCCTTAGCCTGGCGATAAATACAGAAGAGTAATTCTTTTAAGAGGTGGGGCTCTTCACTTCTGAAAAGAGAAATAAAAGACTCAGGGGACCAGGGCCAAATGATCTGGGAGGAGGCCTGGTATCTGCATTCCCCGGCCCAGGGGGTGGGGATTGGCAAGAGAAGCGTGAAGCTGTAGGAGCTGAGACAGGGGTGCTGCAAAGCGGAGCTCCCCCCTCCCCCACAACACGGCTGCTCAGCCACCCAATAACACGTCGGGGCCCCGGGTCCACCCTTAGCTCTGGACTCCATCTCTGTTGCAGAGAGGGCTTCCCGGCCAACGTTCTCCTCCCAGGAGCCTACAACAGGCTGAGGACACTTAGACCCCGACCTGAAAAGAGGCTTTGAGGTGAGGAAGGGGTCACCAGTGACCTCCCCCACCCACCCGTGGAGGACATGGCGCCCAGAGGGTCAAGGCAGGCACTGATCCGCTGAATCTGCAAGCAAACTTCTGAGGCAGGTTGCATGATGAGTCCCCTTTCCACGTGAGTAATCTGATGCCCAGGGAGGCGTGATGTCCGGCACGAGGTCACACGGCCAGTCACCAGCAGGCCCCCCAACACCAGACTCGGCTCTCTCTCTCACAGCTTTGGTGCCAGAAGAAAAAGGAGAGTGGTAACGAGGCCCCGGGCCAGGCTCCCTTGTCGACCACAAGCCCCGAAATCTTCGAAGGGACGGGAGCAGCGCCATGTGTGTGTGCACGACTGTCTATCTCCCCCAGACTCACGTAGGACACTCTGAAGCATCAGGTCAAAGTTACCACCTTTATTCAGTGGAGACACCCCCATGCAAGTAAGTGAGCTCATGAGAACATGTTGTGAAAAATGAACTCCGTAGGCAGCCGTCTGCCACACGTACATGCAGCCCGCTCACTGGCCAACAGGCCTCAGTGTGCTGGGTCGCGGTCCACCCAGCGCAGGTGGCTTACTCCCCTACAGATGATCCTACAGATCATCCCAATTCTTTCTTCGTTGGCTCTCACCGTAGTCTGCTATTAACTTTAAAGTTTTCCTTTATAATTGTTTGTAGATCTCCCCCACTAGAATGTCTACTCCCTGAGGTGAGTGGCCATATTTGTCTCCTTTACCACAGGAGCTCTAGGCCAACACACAGGATGTTCTCCATAAGGTATGTTCAAAGAACAAATGAAGCCATCAGGAATTTGTTTAGGTTCACAGAATCGGAACGAGGGGTGTCCGCTCTGGAATCACCAAGTTTCCACTTCTGAAACATGGATGCTCTCCTCCACCTGGCACTGCACGCTCTCCCCCAAAAGTTCTTGGTAAGGCTTTCCCCACACTTCTCCCTCAGGTTCTTCCCCCGACCACCAGTAAAGTCTAGAATCATCCACTTCATAAAATTCAGGGGTCAGCATGGTAGGTTACTATCCCACAGGGTGACCAGGTCTGTGTTCAAGGGTGAATGTTCTGTCGAGCTGTGGGGTGGGGGGTGGGTACGCAGCTGGTGTCGCTCAGCACGGTGGACAGAGGGACAACCCAGATGCTCACAAATGTCCGTTCGGTAGCAGGTCGTGCTAATGTCCACCAAACAGAGGACATTCATGGGGCATTCTGAGCCAGGTGCTTGGCCAACATATTTGCATGCATTTAGAAAGTACTCTGACTAGCTTCTCTCTCCTTGGACTTCAATTCCCCTGTTGATTTTATGCAAAATCCCTCCTGAAAGGAAACTTGTCCGTTCACAGAAGGCTCGGAGAGAGATCAAGGCAAACTCAGATCGTATGTTGAGCAATGAAAGACGCCGAAATAAATACGATAAGGAACCACGTGTAAAGTACAGAGTTCATCTATCAGGAGAATACACTGGGACATTATTTTAGGGGGAAATAAAGGAGAGGGGGAGGCGGCTCCCATCGGCTCATCCAAACCACTTCGGTGATCACAGGGCCTTGAGGTTCCGAGCTCACTGGGCACAGCGCTCTCTTCTGGCTTGTGGGGCTCGGGGGGCTCTTTCTCTCCCACCCCACTTAAAACCCTCCTGTTTTCTCTCACATGGCGTACCAAGCACTAATAGTCCCAAGAACGTTCGAGGTTCTTTTGTGAATCTTTCTTTTACAGGAGGGAGCTTGTTAGCAATGCTTAAAATACAAGTCCTGTGCGGAGCCAGATACAGCAGCCCCCTCTATTCCTAACGATCACCAGCACCCCGCGGCGATCCCGCCCGGCACAAGTTCAGAGCCTGTGAACAAACGAACGGACGGATGAGTCTGGGAACGAACGCACGGCCCCGCGGACGGCGGTGAAGGGCGGCTATGTCCCGAACGCCTTGCTGCACGGCGGGAAAGCTCACGGGCAGCGGCTGTGAGGTCCTCAAGGACAAACAGTAGGCGGGTTCAGAAAATGCGAAGGCGCGTCATGGCATTACACAGCGGTCTGCTATCTTGTGGCGTGTCAGCTACAATTCACCCATTTAAACAATCCTTGGCCTCCTGTACCGGGCATGTCAGCAGGCAGTCATGTCAGCCTGGCGCTGAAGAACACGCGGGCGATGTGTGAAGCCCGGCCTACCCCCTCCTCCGGTCCCAGAGGCTCCGTTCCCTCGAAGGTCAGATGGGATCGCCTGTTTGAAGGACTGGGTCTGTTAATGCCCGTGAACAGTCTGGAGAAGCTCCTGCCCTCTCAGGAGGGACAGCATGGGGGCAAGGGCAGGGGTACCACATTCGCAGTCCCTACCCCTGGCTCAAATCCCAGCTCAGCCCCTCTGCACCACCAGAAACATCATGTCGGGTCCATTCATTCATTCGAACTCATTCGTTCATTCAATAAGTATTTATTAAGCACCTACTGAATGCCAGGCAGTGTGCTTGTACTTAATTGAGGCACAAAAGGGTCAAGGACCCCTGGTCTAGGAGCCAGTGAGGGAGGGGCAGAGACACCAGAAGGACGGTGGTCAGATGTCAGGCGTGGAAGCGCTATGGGAGGGGAAGGCAGGAGGCCGGGAGGAATCGCAGGTGGTAGGGGCAGGTGTGCTATGTTAGAAAAGGTGGTCACTGTGGTTGGCTTTGTTGACAGAGTGACAGCTGAACAAAGACCTGAAAAGGACAAGGAAGGAACCAAGGGATTCTCAAGGAAAGGAGGTTCAGGCAGCAGGAGGTGCTAGAGTGTGGCCTCAGCCCTCCAGGAAGGAGCCTGCAGGGGTGTCGGAGGGGGCAGAAAGCACAGGGGAGCAATTATTCCTGTTTGACCAAAACCGGGACTCGTGATTTTCAGTTTTAAATGGGGACAGTCCTGGGCAAACCCAAGGGAGCTGGTCACCCCAGAAGAAGAGGTTTGGGAGGTAACCGGTAGCCCAATGCCGTATGGCCTTTGGGGGGATACCACAGTGACCCCAACAGGGGCCGGGGCTGAAACCGGCCAGCAGCCGAGGAGGTGCTGCGTGGGCATGGATTCTGCATCTATGTGCTGTTAGACTGGGGGTGGGGGGGGAGGCAGAACCAAGGCTAAGCCTCTGTTCCTCGTCCGCACCTTGTAGATCATTCCAGCCGTCACAGGCCATAAAAGTGGTAACACATGGTGAGCACAGGAGCAACATGGACTTGGCCCAGTTTCCCTGGGATTGGCCTTGTTTGAAATCTGACAGTCACCACCTCCCGAGAACCCGCTCAGTCCCGGGCCGCTGGCTGCCCCATCCAGTGTAAGCTCTTGAACCAACAGGTCAAGGTCAGACCGCATTAAACACCTGCCGAGTCAGCCTCCAATTCTGTTTCTCCCGGTCGTTTGAGAGTGTCCGAGGGCTGAACAGGTCTTTCTCGTGGCAATCACGATTTCCCTTCTCCTGCTGCTGAGTCTGTGCTCGGTGTCCGGGTGGGACGTGGAGCAGGTTGAATGATGGTCCCCAGAAGCCCACATCCTACTACCCAGACCCTCTAAATGTGACCTTATTTGGGAAAAGAACCTTTGCAGATACAATAAAGGATCTCCAGATGAAATCATCCTGAGTGACCCGGGTGGGCCCTAAATCCAATGACAGGTGTCCTTATTAATAAGAGGCAGGGAGGAGGACGCAGAGGAGGAGGCCAGAGAGACGGAGGCAAGAAGTGGAGTGACGTGGCCAAGGAAGCTGCAAGAGCCAAGGAAAGGTCCTCCCCGGGGGCTCCGGAGGGAGCACCGCCCTGCTGACACCAGGATTTCATACCTCCGGCCTCCCTAACTGTGAGAGAATACATTTCTGATCTTTTAAGTCTGGGGTCATTTTCAAGACACGCACTGGAAACCAACACAGGACCCAGTGCCCCCCGCCCACTGCAGCTGACACCAAAGCAAAGCCATGTGCCCACGGCGATGACACCGCGCCCCGCAGTCTCCCCACGGCCGAAAACCTCAGTGCGTGGGCCTCAGCAGGCCCCCGGACACACCATTGCCACCAGAACCCCTGCAGACAACCTGCTTTAGGCTTCTAGCCAATTCTCTCCCCCGCGCACCTGTCACTGCATCACGCTGCACATGTTCCCTGTCACAGTCAAGGTCACTCTTCCCTTACCTGGCCCTGGGTGCACCGAGCACCATCCCGGGTGACAACGGTCCTGGGCACAAGGGAAAACTACATGGGTTTCCCAGCAGCGGGGAAGCCCTGAGTGAGCAGGGGCATGCTGGGGCTGGGAGTCCGACACCCGAACCCAGGCCCCACCTGCCCCTGAAACCACCAGTGGGTCCTTTTACCTTCCTGCACCTCTGGTTTTCACCTGAATAAGGGAAAAAGCAGAAAGCACAGGCTGAAAACCGTGCTTTCCAGGGCCTGCATGGGGAGTCTGAGGAAGGAGCCAAGAATTCGGCTCTCTGTAAGAAGTTTCCGGCACTTGACGTGTGATTTTAACCCAAGTAAAATGCTTCGAGAAAACAGACATTCCCTACCGAGAGACAGTTCGTCTATGCTCGCGGTTACCTGTTCGGATGTCATGGTTAACGCCTTCCACAGAGATAATGGCATTCGGAATTCCTTTCCCATGGAAGTCCCTCACCACGCCTTTGATGCCGCGATGGACCTGCTCAGCAAACACGACAAGAAACGGGGTGAGCTCATGATGCACTTGACCCAAAGCACATGGTGAAGGAGGCTATAAGCCGAACGCCACCCCAGGGCCACGGGGAACCCTCGCAGCACCTTATCTAGCTCAAAAGCTCCCTGGCTGTGCCTGGATGAGGTGTGTAAATTTCTGCGTTCCCTTTGGGTCCAGGTACTGGGAAGTCTTCCATCGGAGTTCAGATATTCCAGAGGCTTAAAAAATATTAGGATCTGAGATGGTTCGTATCAAGCACACCCAGTAAAAATGGGATTTAATTTTTTCTAGGCCCATTTGTTTAGACTTTCCTGAACTCTATGGACCTAATACGTAGACCCAGGCACTTAAGGGTCAGAGAGAAAAGAAAAGAGTCAAAGGCGTTCCTATAAACTACAACTCCGTCCATAGGGCCCTTCAGCTGATGAGCTGTGTCACACGATACACATCACTCGGCACCTCGTGCCTCAGTTTCCCCATCCGTAGAACGATGTGACAACCCCAGGCGGCATACTATCATCTCCAATGACACTGTATGTATTACTGTGCCTGGGCATTTTATCCATAGCAGGTGCCTTGGTGACACGGGATTACTTTAGAATGACCAGAGCCTTCTCTCTTTTCATAGATGAAATGAAGAAGAGCCTTCACTCGCAAAATTTCAGGATGTGGACAGAGAGTGTGCTCACAGCTTCCCAAGAGGAAAGAACAGGTTCACACCCGCTGTGCCAGGCGAGTGCACTCTGTGCAAGGGCTGCACAGAGTCTCCAGAGACCCTCATGGGGCAGACTGGGACGCTAGGTGCCAGGGCTCACCTCTGCCAAGGTCAGTGGAGGTGGAGGTGCAGGTACCAGGAAGCTGGCAGCCTGAGCATTGCCTGGAAAGTGTCTTCTGATTCATCTACAACAACCCGTGGAAAGGGCAGCCTCCGTGCATGATCCTGCAAGCCTCAGAACCACACTTCCTAATGGATGGGAGTCACAGTAGAGTCACATAATTGAGGCCCAACGTTCCTTTTGTTTATTCCTCTGGTTTCTGGTTAGTCTGTTCCTCAGTGGGGCGTGGATGTCATTGTATTCATTGTAGCACGGAACTAGAACTGGTTTACTCAATGCTACGGGATGGGCGTGTCCTTGAGAGCAGGAGGAAGGGAAGGCGGGGGAGGTGCCTAGTGGATCCAGCAGGGCTTCCTCACCAACTGCAAGCAGAACTCTGGCAGGGGCTCGGGAGACCTGTTCCCAGGAGCCTCCCACACCTGCAGCAGAGCCTCTCAGCCTCACAGCCATGGTGGGCACCATGGCATCCTCCAACAAGGCCCACGGTAAAGTCCTTAGTCCCGGGAGTAAGGGGATGTGACTTAGAATTCTAAGTCACACTTAGAATGTGACTGTATTTGGAGACCATGTCTTTAAAGGGGTGATTAATGAGGTCATTTGGGTGGGCTCTGATCCAATCTGACTCCCTCCCTTACAAGTGGAAACGGGGACCCACAGAGACACCAGGAGCGTGTGTGCATGGAGAAAAGACCATGTAAGGACAAGGAGAGGAGACGGCCGTCTGCCAGCCAAGGAGGCGCCTCCGAATGAGACCAACCTGCCAGCACTTTGATCTTGGACGTCCAGCCTCCAGAACTGTAATTTCTGTTGCTTGAGCCCCGCCCCCGCCCTGGTGTCTATGTTTTTATGCAACCCTGGCGGACTAGCACAAGGGGCCTGAGCCTGCTGGCTCGGACACAGGTCACCCCCTGCCCACAGGGCAACATCTGGTCCCACTCACTATGACCCAGTGTGAGCCATCAACAAGGCTTTACAGCTCACTCTGCAGGGCTGAATCAAGTGCAGACAGACGGTGGTTCTTCTAGCACCGTGCGGGGCCGGCCCAGCACGACAGCCGGAGTCCCAAGTACTAACTCAACTCAGTCTCAGGCTTTCAGTCCCCTAGTAGGCCCCATTCCTTTGCCAGCCCCCACCCCAATGTGTGCTTATGCCATACCTGCTCCATGAACACGATTAAGGACTCTCGATTATTCTCCCACTCCTCGGGCAGCTCACTCTCGTGCGGGTACTTATCACAGCCCACGTAAATGGACAGCTCGAAGCAGTTGGTGTGAAGGTAGCTGAAATCGTTGAGACCTGCCAAGCCAACCGGACAATGTTGTCACCAAACAGCGCTCCAAGGGGCAGGAGGGAGACAGCAAGAATGTTCAAGAACGGGATTCAGAAGACCTCATTTGAACAAGGCGGTGTCCAGTATCTACTGTAGACTACAAATGAAGCTTTGCGCAGTGGCAGTATCGTAGCCAATGAGGTTTATCCGAGGCGCGATTATTGCTAATAGACTACAAATGAATTACAGCGAAGATGAGGGGAGGGGCTGGGGAGAGAGAAGAGGTAGCCAGAAGGGTTTCTGGGGAAGACAGGTATACACGGGAACAGCTCTGACGAAAGGAAGACTGAAGTAAGTGCTTTTCAGATAAAATTCTGCTTATTAAATTCGGTCTAACACACTATTTTTAGAATAAAGCTACCATGAATTAACAGTATGGATTCTAAGCGTTTGATTAAGTTTCTCTCTTCAGTTACTCTCTCCCAGCTACAGTTCTGGAACAGCGTTCTGGTCTCATTCATGCCAAGAGCTACCCCGACCGCCCTCCGCTGAGCGCCATCCATGAGCCCGGACCTGTCCTTAGTGCTCTGTCCCCACTGAACACAAACTCAGCAGAGAAGTAGGCAGCACCGCACAATTTCATGAATAAGAAAATGAAGGTAGAGAACAGCTAAGAAATGTATCCAGAACCATGTGTCTGGAAAGTGCCAGAGTCAGGGTTTGAACCTAGGTGTGTGTGATGCCAAGACCTTGCTCTTATCTCCAGGATTGGGCTGCTTGGGGGCCGCAAGACGAGCGTACTCACCCACCGAGCCTGACGGCAGATGGATCTCGAACATCCCGACACTATTGCAACAGGATGTGAAACGCCCAGCCTGGCATGGGGTCAGGCTCCGCATTAGCATCCTAGGGCTGCTGTTACAAAGGACCACAAACTGAGGGGCTTAAAACAACAGAAATATATCCTCCCATAGTTCAAGCAGCTGAGCGTCCGAAATCGAGGTATTGGCAGGGCTGTGCTCCCTCCAGAGGCTCTAGGGGAGGAAGCTTTCTCGCCTCCTCCAGCTTCTGGTAGCCCCCAGCGTCCCTTGGCTTGTGGCTACGTCACTCTGACCTTTGTCTCTGTCTTCACGTGGCCTTCTCCTGTGTCTGTGTCACCTCCTCTTAAGGACATTTATCAATGATTTTAGGGCCCATCTAGGTAACCCAGGATACCCTCACCTTGAGACCCTTAATTAATTAATTAAAATAATTTTTTATTGTTATGTTAATCACCATACATTTCATCATTAGTTTTTGATGTAGTGTTCCATGATTCATTGTTTGTGCATAACACCCAGTGCTCCACGCAGAACGTGCCCTCTTTAATACCCATCACCAGGCTAACCCATCCCCCCCCCCAAACCCTCAGTTTGTTTTTCAGAGTCCATCGTCTCTCATGGTTCGTCTCCCCCTCCGACTTACTCCCCTTCATTCTTCCCCTCCTGCTATCTTCTTCTTTTTTTTTTTCTTAACATATATTGCATTATTTGTTTCAGAGGTACAGATCTGTGATTCAACAGTCTTGCACAATTCACAGTGCTCACCATAGCACATACCCTCCCCAATGTCTGTCACCCAGCCACCC